TATAATTCATATTATGATAAAATAATTAAATAGGCATTATATATTTTTTTAATAATATTTGTTTAATATTGTACCGATTCTTTAGTTTTTTCTGTGTTTTTCTTTTTTTTTTACCTTACTGGGAAAAATCTTGAGAAAATCGAAAAATTACATCTTTAAAGTACCTCCCCAGTCAGATTTCCTTATGCAAAAAGTGCTAAGATTGTAAATCGGAGCAAAATTGCTGATAGAAAAGTTATCAACACAGAAAACAATCGTAATATTTTACAAATGTATTTTGTACATTTTCCCGTTTTTTCTTCATTTTTCACGATTATTCCCATTTATTGAGAAAACTCCTGGGAAAATCAAAAAACGACCCCTTCAAGTTAACATTTAGCTAAAATTTTCTTTCAGAAAATAAATTACACTTAATACATCGGAGCAAGATTTTTGGTAGAAAAGCTTGCACAACAAATCGAGGGATATTATGCGATTAAAATAGTTTGAGCGAGCGATGGCTTGGGTTTCTAGGTATATCCAAAATGTATTTATTTTTCCCTTGTTTAAGTGAAAGTGGGAAAAAATGCAAAACAATTTTTTTTGAAACACAGGTTCGAAATCGTGAACCCTAGGATGAAATAGATATGTATGGTATAACCATACATACCTATTTAGCCACTTTAGAAAAGACAATATTTAGTTATTCAACATAGCATATAATATTCGCATAATATTAGAAATTCAAAAAGCTATTATATCGAAATTTAGTCAGTCCGTTCAATTTTGACTTCACCATTGTTATTAAATTAGTAATATACATATGTTCAAAAAAAAAAATTGAAAAATTAGATTTGTTCCGTATATTTTTTTTTTTTAACGATTTTCGACAAAATTTGATATTAAAATTCTTTATAAAAAAAATGCTACATTAAAATCGAATTTTCTTTTTTTGACCACAAAGTAAGATTCTTAATGAATTTCCTGTTAAATTTTCAAGCATTTCTGTTAAATCTAACAATTTTATCGAATAAAAATTACGTACAAAACTAGCAAAATTAAAATATCTATAAATAGCTTAAAAATGGCTTAATTTTTTTTAAAATTTTATTATGTCTAAAAAGGAAAATTTAAATTTTCTGTCCAAGTTTCAAGTCTTTACGAATATTTTTAACAGTATTACATCAAATAACAAAATTGAAAAATAATAAAAGCATTATTTTCGTAAATTTCCTTTATTTCTTAGGTTTTATTCTGGTTTTTCCCAGATATTATGAAAACCGCTTGGAAAATCAAAACATGACCTCCTTAAAATAAAAAAATTATAAAATAGACATCATAGTAAACCCAATACATTCTTCGCTACACTCAGAAACTAAAAGGAAATGTAGAGAAATTACGGGAAAAAGGAAACTAAACAAAGGTTGGTGGATGTTGGTGAATGACAAAAGAAGATTGTACTGAAAGGTGAAAATACCGTAGTCGACAAAGTTAAAAATTATTTTTTAAAAAATATATGCCAAATAACTACTTTTGCACTCTCAGAACTTAGGTTGGGATGAACTGTTGGCGATTGTCTCGTTTTACAGCTATTAGTACGGACATAGTGGATCAATTAAAAATATCGGCAGTTTTATTTCTTCTCCACCCGCTAAGGGTTAACCCTATTTAGTTGATCAAAGAATAATAAATATAATATTGTACGGTCGACGGTTTTAGCTTGGTTTGAGGGTCAATCAACCTCCTTGATTATGAATCGTTTGCTCTTAGTGCCAAGTAGGTCCGCCTAAAATAAATATATGCAGGGTGATTCACTAATCGTGCTCGCCCCATTTGTTGGTCAAATTTTTCATGTATTCAATTCAAATTTAGATTTTTGGAATTTTTAAGTGCAAATCCGATATTTTGATAACTTAGATTTTTAACAACATTTAAGGAGTATCCTGTGGCGATATCAATTTTGGTTTTTCAAATGAGAATCTATATTAAAAATTTCATAAACAGACGGAGTATTGCTTTAAATACATTTTGGTGTCAACATTTTTGATTTCCGTCAACACTAAAAAAACGCCACACACGTTGCCGCCAAATGATACTCCACTACTTTCCCCTTACATAAACTTAAAAGTGAAATATCTCATCAACTAGTAGACGAAAATCAAAAATGTTGACACCAAAATGTATTTAAAGCAATACTCCGTCTGTTCATAAAATTTTTAATATAGATTCTCGTTTGATAAACCACAATTGATAACGCCACAGGATACTCCTTAAATGTTGTGAAAAATTTAAGTATACGAAAATATCGGCTTTACCTACACTTAAAAATTCCAAAAGACAGAATTTTAATATATTCAACATTTAACCAAAATAATGGGGTGATTACGCTTAGTGAATCATTCTGTATATATATTACATTTGGAGATAAAACGTGTAATTAAATGTGTAATTAACAATGAAGGTCATAGTTCTTAAAAATATTTCGTTAAACAGAAAATTTCGTTAAATGGAAGTTCGTTATATGGAAGTTTCACTGTATATATATATATATATATATATATTTATAAAAGGAAAAAAAATACAATAATTTATAGGTGTGTGTGTGTGTTTCGTAATCTATAGGTACCCTCCCACTCTAGTCGTCTAGGCCAGGTTGACGATTCGTTTTGTTTTGTATTTCTTTTATTACTGCCCGCACATTTCTCTCCTGCAGACGTCGACATCGAAAAATAGAGATCGCGTTCGTTGGCGCCAAAACACGTTTATGTATGCCTCATATACCTACGCATAGAAATTGTTTTATTCCCCCCCCCCCTCATCGGGAGGTTTTTATTTTCGAACACCTGCATGTAAAATAAGTTGCGTATAAAAATAAAATAATGTACAGATAATAATTTAAGTACTTCAATGAGTTCAATGCGGTTACATAACACTTATGGGCTATACTTATGCTGTACATTACATTTTAAAAAATTTCGTTATCTATAGACTAACGGGTTTTGTTTTGTTTTTTTTTATATTTTTGACGTTGTTCCTTTAGCGCCCATTCGTCAATTTTTTTTTTTGTACAACACACTGGAATTTCGAGTTGCACAATGCATACTATTTACATTTTGTCCTGCACACACTTTGTGATTTAAAACCCACCTATTTTATGTTCTGCAATCAGTGAGTGTAATCTGTGATATAGTAGGGATTAATATATTTTTTTAAAAAATGATTATTTAACGATGTCTTTATAAGATTATGATGCCCTCTTGAAATGTGACACCCAGGGTCAATGCCCCCCTCCCGAGACCTCCCCTAAATACGTCTTTGCCTGTAGAGTATACAAAAAGTTTTTTTGCAATATTCTGAGTGTATATCAAAATTTTTTTATATTAATATAAATATTGCTCCGATCGTCAACATCAGTAATGATGAAATCAAATTTTATTCGGTTGATGCATTGGGCAAGTCGTTTTAGATTCTTAGTGTAGCGAAAAATGTATTGGTTTTATAAAGATGTTTATTTTTTTATTTTATATTTTTTTATCTTCTGTACAAAAATTCTACCAGAAATCTGGCTCCAATATGTATACGCGCGGCACCATTTCTAAAAGGAAATCGTCCAGATGGTAATATTGGGAGGTTATTTTTTAATTTTCAATATGTTTTTCATAATATCTGGGAAAAACCAGGATAAAACGTAAAAAAATGGGAAATTTATGAAAATATTACTTTTATTATTATTTCAATTTTGTTATTGGTTGTAACTTGTAAGTCAGTTAAAAATATTCGTAAATACTTGAAATTTGGACAAACAACTTATATTTACCTTTTCTAGACGTGGTAAAATTTTCAAAAATTTTAAGCTATTTTTAGCTATAAATAGACATTTAAATTTTACGAGTTTTATACATAATTTTTATTTGGTAGGTACTGTGTGGTAAAATTGTTAGAATGAACAGAAATGCGTGAAAATTTAACTGGCGCTTCATCAAAAGTCTTACTTTGTATTTCCCTACCTCGTAATAACGGTTTCTGTTATTTTCGCGATTTTGTTTTGGCTTGTTGTGTAATTCAGTGAAAATAATCGTAAAGATCCATAACTTTCACCGAATAGGTGTTCTTATAATTTAGCGTTCTTTCCAGAAGCAATGTATTTTTCAATATATTCCGGCGTATTTTGAAGTTAGATAGATTTATTAAAAGTGTTTTTTTTTTTTTTTTTTTTACATTTTTTATGCTGTTAGAACTCGTGTAATTCATTTTTCTATCGGCGATAAAATTCACGTTTAAACCCGTTAAAAACACGAACGGTGTTGAAATATTTATCGTTTATACAGTTAAAAATATTAACGTATCTACCGTTAACGATTTTCGATTTGAACTTATCAAAACAACATGACGTTTAACCGGACTTCCCTCATAATCGTCATTCGTTTTTATAACGATCTGTGTATAAATATACACACATACACATACACACACACACACATATATATATATTAAATCGCTTATATCCTACACATACAGGCAGTGGCGTAACCGGGATTCATAAATGGGGGTGGGTTACAACAGCCGAACCCTCTCCCGAGGCTACGACATTACGTACCGGTATCATGCGATAAATTATTACACGTTTTCCGCCCGCGGTGCGAGGTGTGCGCCGGCTTCAAACGAATAGTACTTACCTGGTATGGTAATTAGATTATTAGGCGATATTCGGCGAAACCGCGCCGGCAAAATACGTGAAAAAAAGCCCACCCCCACGCCCTCCGTCGTTCCGGATCTCGACATCGCCGGTGCCCGTGCGTTAAATTTTCGCGCCGATCCGTCCGGGCGAAACGCGATTCTCGTCGTTGGTTTCGAATACTATTATTGGATGACAACAATATTGAAAATACTCGCGCGAATTCATCACGCGTTAATAACGACCAATCGCTATTACATTACCGTTATTGTCATCGTCGTCGTCGAATATTATAATGTTATTGCCGAGTTTCCAAACTCGAACGCTCGTAACATTTACTCACTACACGCGCAAACACAATCCACTTCATATTCCCGACGACTTTCTCTCCGCCGAACGTGTACAGAAACGCTTAACACCAAAGCGCAGCTGCGGTGATTTCGCAACCGACCGTTCTTGTTCCCCGGACACACGCCAACAACGATATATCATCGTAACACATTTTTTTTTTCCCGTCCGGTTAGATTGCGCTCCTAGTGTTCCAAAGAAACTACCGGTTTGAATGCGTGCTTCCGTCCACGCTCTGCAGGGAAAAGTTCTTTTTCTGTTCCGTTCCGAATTATCGTTCGCGTCGTACATTGCAGAAGACACGGATTTTTCGGTGGACGGCAATTTGTATTTTGAAACGTTCATCTTGATTACAGACGGTTTTTCTTGAAAATATTTTCAAAAAGAAAAAAAAATCCACGTACAATGACGATACATCGGTTTTGTGCGTTCGTCGATTTCCGGGTTACAATAATTGACTTCAAGGGGAATACAAAAACGATTAATAAAATCTTACCAGTTTACCCAGTTCTACCGGGGAAATCGTTAAAATAATATATTATATCCTACGTTCGGAAACCTGAAACCAACAACAGTGACCTACCCATAGTGCGCAGTATTTTCGGTTTTTTTTTTTTAGTTTTCAAAATTTTTAAAACAAACTAATAAAAAAGTAAGATAAGTGTCTAAATGTTATTGGTGAGCGATTGGTGTACATGTACACCAAAAATAATTCAAAACAACGTATAAGTTTATTTGTTTATTTTTATTTATTTTTTCTTTAAATTTGAATATCATTAAGAATAGATTTAACAATAGAAAAATTTTAAATTACAATAGTCTGCGGCTTTTCTTATTTTTTTTTACATATTTTTTCACAAGCAGATTTAAATTAACAATTAGGCTGATTATCGACGTACACTGCTTTTGTGCAAAATACGTAAATTCGCTAGTTACACTGAAAAAATATGTATGGGTACAGACCAATCAATAATATTAATAGGTAATTATAATAATAATAATAAAAAAAAAACTAACAAAAATTGTTTTGTTTTGACAAAAAGTTTATGGTTTGAATCACAAATTTCTACTATACATCATAACATATTATTAATTAATAAATAAATAAACTTATCGTAAAATGGAGACAAAAATTTAATGATTGATTACCTGTATTGTTTTTAAAACAAAACAATACACACTTAACAGTGAAAATTATGAGCAATAATTAATAATGATTTTTAAAAATGGTTTTACTTGATAAGTGTTGAAACAGTATTTTGATATTTTGTAAGGTGAAAATAAAATTTAAGCTGTATAGTTATATATTGTAGAACAGAATACACAAAGGCTGGATAATGTCATACGTATAAAAATTAAAATTTGTATTCGATAATTTAAAATAATAATTGTCGGCTAAACAGAATTGGAATATAAAAAAAAAAATATATAATATTATACATTATGTATGTTCCAGTAAGTTGAATATTTCTGAGCAGACGCGAATCCCCAAAATTACAATAAAATAATGTTGCCGGTTAATATTATATTTATATTATAAAAAAAATTGGTCAAAAAACATTTTACGGTTAATACAGGGATACGATTTTTAAGTCTTTTTAAATTTATTAATATTATAATTAATTTTTTTTTTTATCATATAGTTATCACTATAAAAAGAAGCTCACAGTTTTCGTATATTATATTAATATCCTAAGTATTATTATAATATAATGTGAAGTTCTATACAAGTATTATATTTAATTCATTAATAGTATTATTCGTCTAAAATATTACCGAAAAAAAAAAAATATTGTACGGCCTTAACTATTATGCTATATGTACATTATCTAACCTAATCACAAATAATTATTAAAAGTTTAATATAATAGTTGTGTATACAAATTAAATTTATTTAATATCTATATCACGAATTTAACACAAAATAATATAATAATGATAAAACAATGTTAATAAATAATGGCACCAGATTTTTTTTCTTTTCTACGCTTAAACGGCCGGCAGTACCGGATTACTTGATTTTTTTTTATCATTTAATAATGTCTAAGATATAAAAAACAAAACCGATTACGCTGTTGTACTTAATGTATTTTTACTTGGATAGTTAAAACTCTCAGAGTATTATTATTATCATTATATTACTAAACACAAGCATTCTCAATGGGTCAATATTTGTATTTATTTTTTTTTTTTTCTGTTTTATAATATTACTCAATTTATAACGTACATGTGAAATTACAATAAAAATTAACTTAATTCTCTAAGAGGAATGAAAATTGATTTACCTATAGGTATTTATAATATATATATATATATATAAGTATAAATAATTTATTTATAAAAACATATACACGATTGTTTTGTCCTTTCTCGTAGAAAAAAAAAAAAATAAAAATTATAATTAAATTAAATTGAAAATTTGATAGGTTTTGTGGATTGTCTTGAAACAGACTTCTCTCGACGGATCAGTACACGTATATCTGTTTGAGCTGGTCCCGTAGTTCCGCGGGTATTTTATACGCGTCCTGTTGCTGTTGCTTTTTGTGCACCAGTCTTCGCCACTTGCCGCGCAGGTTTTTCCGCAATCCCTTACGGTGTTCGGCGGTGTTCTCCTCGATGGGCACGCTACACACCAATGTGTCCTGAAATCATCGACAAACAGAAAACTAATATTAGAAAAAAAAAAAAAAAATCAAATCGTTTACAGAACACGTTCGTATTGAGAATAATCGCCGTCGGTTCGAAAAGTTGAACCCGACAAAATAATAATAATAGTATGTTCGTTCCGAATTAGTTTACGTGTTGCCAAAATACTCCGACGAAACGTCGTTCCCTTGAAACGGTCCGCCGTTTCCAAAGTGATTGTGGGTCACCAGAACAATAATAATTATTTCGTGTTCACGATAACGCCGCAGTCATAATAATATTACTATTATTATTATTATTATTATTATTATTACCGGACCGCAAAACCAGTAACCAGTAACCTTCCGCCAGTCCGCACACGTCTTATACGCTACTACGGACTAACCTATCCTTGTGTTTTGATAATAAATTTCTCCCACCTGAGTAGTGGTATACGTGTTGCTGGATGTTTAATAATGTTTACGACGATTGTGCGAATAATTTTTCAAGTTTTAACGATCTCTCGTGTGCGCCTTTTCTCTCCGTACCATTATAATAATATTGGACGTAGATACACCTACTTACTCATTATTATTAATCATGTTCTATAAAAGGTTATACGGTATAAAGGTATACGTACTCGTTAGAACGGAAGAAAAAAAAAAAAAAAAAAAAAGGTAAGAAAATTGGGTACTTTATACGATATATCCGATTGATACCCAAGCGCGTTTTAAAACGGACTTTACCCCCATCGTGGCCAAAGAACCCGCGCCTAATTATAATTCTTACCCGAGCCCATCTACGCAGTTTGCGTACGAGAACTCGTCGATAACGGAATAAACGCGGTTAATTACCTGATCGGGACTGTACAGCCTGTACGGCGAGTTAAACCCGTTGGTGTTTTTGGCTGCTGCGTTTTTGGCGGAATACTGCCAGAGGAACGGTAAAGGTACGGGCGCGTCGACCAAGTCTCCGGCGGCCGACACGTTCGTGACGACCGCGACGTCGATGGGCTGATGAAGAGCGTGGTGCGGCGGCGACAACAATTGACAGTCGCCGACATTGTTGTTGTTGTTGATGCTGTTGTTGTTGACCGCGGTCGACGTGGTCACCGTCGTCGTCGAGTTGGCGGCGGCGGCGGCGGTCGTGACCGAGGTGGCGGTGGCCGTAGCCGCTGCCGTGGCCGCGGCCGCGGATTCCTCGCGCTTCCTGAGCTTGCTGCGAACCAAACGCACGGTTAAAAATTTCGAACCGTTGCTGCCCACCATTTTCAAGCTGTCCCTAAGCGTGCCTATGCAATTGAAACGCGCTTTGGTCTGCTCGATCGTGCCGCCGACGGTGGCCGATGACTTCGGGTAAGTCACCACGCCGCCGAACGTGACCGTTTTCGCGGAACACATGGCTGTTATGCTTATGGTAGTAATATTAACTCGTGCACTTTCAAACTATACTAGCCGATCGTGTTGTTGCCACGTCCGGTGTTATGGGTATGAACGGAGTAAAACGTTTCTACGTGTTTTTATAATCAAACAGCAATAAACGTTACTATATTTAATATACAGGTATAATACGAACGTGTATTATTTATATATACGCGGAGGATATATATTATACACACATATTATTATGTTTATGTACCGGTATATAATAATTATTATTTATGAAATATAATTACAAATAGGTATAATAATATTATTACGTTAACGACTAGTTTCACTATCACAGCCCTCGTGTTAGGTATAAATATATTGTTGGGTACCGACGAAAATACCGCGGAAAAATAAAACCCCGTAAAAATAGTTGTTCTTCTTCGACGGCGGCGGCGGTTTTATCGACGAGAAATAAAGAGGAAAATTAAAAATAAATACAAATAAGACGAGAAAAACAGAAAAAAAAAAAAAAAAACGAAATAAATCTTTTAGTCAGTTATTATTGTAATAAACGAAACGCACGCACACGAAACGATGCGGATTATTAACTGAACGGCTGGTGCGTGGGCCTTATCATTTTCCGGGTGCGTGTCCAAAGCGGGGGCCTTTGCAAGTGGTGGTCGTCTGCCGCAGACGACAACGACGACGGTACTTGGCGACAACCGACGCACATTCGAAACGGTTTGACGGTGTATACGACGGAACACTGAAAATGCTGTAACTGTCGCGACTGTTGGTTTTCGCTGACGGTCGCGGACTGGACGCTTAATTTGAACCGTGTCGTCGAAAGCGCGCGCTATACTTGGTCGTCACGGGGCAGCGTGCGGCGAGTGGACGCACACAAACACACAAACACGCACACACGAAACGAACGCGCTCAACGACCAAACGTCGACGACTGGACTGCGGCACGCGGTTACACGACAAACGTGTTGCGAGGAGCGACTCTGCACGAGCGACTGCCGATGTGCCGTCGTCGCCGCGCCGCCGCCGCGCGCCGCACCGTAACGCACGGGTGGGAGCGCCGCCGCCACGTTGCCATGCCGTCCGTCTCGTTACAATATTATTGTACTGTTCGTCTGTTCCGTACACGGTTCCCGTTCGCCGATCGGGGCGATGTAGGGGTCGCATCACCGCCGCCGCCGTCGTCTCGGAACCCAAAATCTCCCTCTATACAATACCATAATATACGCAGAGTCGCGTCGTGTAGCGCAGCGGCCGTATCG